TTATGTTCTTTTCTGAGTATGCATATGAGGATATAGCTTAGAGCTTGATCCTGTCTCCGTATATACTTACGGAAATTATGTCAATAATTTCTGTAGCAGTAGGATTGGCTACTACTGTTATTTTCATATAATGTCCAACTTGAAATATTTTCATTATTGAAGTTCATTTCTTTATGTTAATTGCATTCTGACATTTATGGACAGATGTTGAATCAGTATTTATAAAACTGATTGTTCTTCAGGCAAGGCAGACAGATGGAGCTGAGGCAGTGTGACTGTTTTTGCTTATGAATAAACATGTTGCATGTTGTGTAGCAAAAACACTTCTATGTTGCTTTTCCTGTATTTCTCCACCAGTGGCAAATTCTAACTTTATTTGGCCACCATTTCTGTTAACTAACTCTGTAAGCCTCAGATAGAAAAACAGCTTTAATTTTCCTCCTATTGTGCATATACTAGATGAAGCCATATTGTTCATCGCAGGCAGACAAAGGTTCTGGGAGAAGTTCTTCACAATGTGTGACGTCTACACAAGAAGTCTCGTACATATGTACTAGAACTTAATGCTATTCTACCACAGGTTCCTCACTGCTCTGTTCACATGTACTACAACCATAGGTTCCTTTCTGCTCCCTTCCAGCATCCATTTCTTCTGTCCTTAAAAGAAAATGTGTCATCACTGCAAAGAGAAAACTGCTTTGAGCTCCATAAAAATGCTATTCATTTTTTCCTCTGAAAGAGATTCAGGTATTTGCAGGGAACATAGTTTCTCCTTGAGAGTTGTCACAAATGCGTGAAAAGATCAACACAATTTTGCTGAATAAAAACACCACGCTTAGTAACCTGCAAGATATTCAGTCTGTGTAGGTAATGGAGATTGAGACTAAGAGGAAAGAAATAGGAAGAGCCCATCCTAGAATCTGTAATGCTTCCTTGGCAGAAATGTTGCACTGCTGCCGTTATCTGAAATATTTATGAGTGAATATGATATTTCAGCATTGATCTGTATCAGCTGCTTTGTTTCAAAACAAATTTATGTCCTACTTCAGTTGGGCTTGACATCCTCAAGGGATTAAAGTCAGGACTAGGAGTAGAACATTGTTCTATGCAACAAGCATCTCTCCAGTGAATACTGATGCAATATGTCTGTTAATTAACCTCATATAAGATCTGCTTTGGGATTAGTGTAATGTAACTGTACTACTAGATCCTTAACCATCTTTTTGTGATGGTTTATGTAATATGTGACAGTTCTTTGAAGATTTCTGAGCTAGATTTCCTTTGGTGAAAAGACAGCTTAGTATGCAAACCATTTCCCATGTCATTGTTCATGATTAAGGTAATGTAAACAACCTACCTCTGGACTAGAAAAGCAGCTGGTGATTTTTACCGTGTTTTTACTAACTTGGCTTTATGATACAACTTATTTCACAGCAAATCTTGTGTCAGATATTATTTTCCTACAGTGCATCTTGATAATAATTGAAATTTTAATATTCTGCAATAAAGCTTTCCTAGCTGAAATGTGTGCAGTCAGTATTTGAAATAGTTTGACTATTCAGTTCTGAATTTTTACCTGTCTACCTGTCTTTACCTGCTTTTTTTTTTTTTTTTTTTTTTTTTTTTGGTCAAAACTTTAGTTAATCTTAGATTACTCTTAAGACTTGTATTTTTGCAATGTAATATGGGAAGGTTACTTAATCTTGCTTAATTATTCTAGATTTTCTTTTTTGCTGTTTATTTAAAGTATTCTGCTGAGTAGTGGCTCTTTGCTTTGCTTTCCTGGAAGATATGATTATAAATTTCCTGCTATTACGTTATGCCATCACTGATACTTAAGAGGTTCTAGCTTTTGAGAGCATATGATGCTATCAGATTTTGTTGTGTCAATTTCGTAAACATATTTGTAAGAGTCATTGTATCCAGATACATAGTGTTGTTCAGGGGATTATAAACTAGATACTGATTCTTTAAATACTACATACGTAAGAAGTTTTATTCATTTATATAGGCCCCAGGAGTCTCTCAAGTGTTTCTAGAATTGGATTTTTTGGTTTTATGTAGTTAACACGTCCGTGTTTTATTAAGCGTAGACTCATAGCCATGTTTTGATGTTGTTTAAATTTTAAAAACATTTACAGTAACACTAATTTTTAATATGCCCAAAGGTTTATTTTCAGTGAAATTATTCAGCCTTGGAAAGTAATCAGGGCTGAAAGACAAATCAAATGTTGCTACTGCTCTGTTTGGATTTTAAATTTCATCTTACCGTAGCTGAAAGTTATATATCATAATCTTTCTCTGAATTAATTCTTATTCTCGTGATAGTACTTTATTATTTCCAAAATGGTTCTACTTCATACTTTTAAATCTCTTGAAAATTATTGTTTGCTGGAAGAGGTACTGCTTTGTTTATAACAAAATGATTACTGTTTCTCAGTAGCGAGTTCGTGTGAAGTGCTCAAAAATGAAATTTGGAAGTTACTGTTTTCCCAAAATTCGTTAGATCCCTTTAGCTCCACTTGTAAAGGGACCTCTGTCTGTCTGCTGCACAAACAAAAATAATAGAATTCTAATAAATCTGGGGTAAAAAGAATAAGAGTGCTGATAAAAAATAATTCTACTTTCATTAGGTATAAAACTTGAAAAGCAAACTTAAAGCAACTATTGAAATACTCCTCTATAATGAAAAAAAAAAAAAAAAAACCAAAAACAAGCAAGCAATGTAGACTTCTTAGAGACTGGGAAAGATACTACTGGTTCTTTCTTAAGACACTGGAGTTCTGCAGCTTATTGTTAGATGATACAGGCCCCATTTTTCTGTGCAAAGCAACTATTGATATTCTTCAACATAGTTATCCTGGAGAAGCTGGCAGCCCATGGCTTGGACACATGTGCTCTTCACTGGACAAAAAACTGGCTGGATGGCCAGGCCCAGAGAGTGGTGGTGAATGGAATTAAATCCAGCTGGCAACCGGTCATGAGTAGTGTTTCCCAGGAGTCAGTACTGGGGCCTGTCCTGTTTGATCTCTTTACTGATGATTTGGACAAGGAGATTGAGTGCACCGTAAGTAAGTTTGCAGAGAACGCTAAATAGGGACGAAATGTTTCTCTACCTGAGGGTAGAAATTTCTGCAGAGAGATCTGGATAGGCCCAGTTGTTGATCTATGATTTCAGCAAGTGCTGGTGAGGCTGTGCCTTGAGTACTGTGTTCAGTTTTGGGCCCTTCATTACAAGAAAGACATCGAGGCCCTAAAGCATGTCCAGAGAAGGTCAACGAAGCCAGAGAGGGGTCTGGAACACAAGTCTTATGGAGAGCAACTGAGAGAATTGAGGTTGTTCAGTCTGCAGAAGAGGAGGCTCGAGGTAGACATCCTTGCTCTCTACAACTTCCTGAAAGGAGCTTGTAAGAAGGTGGAGGTCAACCTCTTTTCTCAGGTAATTGGTGATAGGACTAGAGGGAATGGCCTGAAGTTGCACCAGGGGAAGTTCAGGTTGGACATTAGGAAAAAAAATGTGTGATAGAGTGATTAGACACTGAAACAGGCTGCCCAGGGAGGTGGTGGAGTCACTATCCATGAAGGCGTTTAAGAACCCTGTGGATGTGGCACTGAGGGACATGAGTGGGCATGATGGTGATAGATTGATGGTTGGGCTAAGTGATCTTAGAAGGTCTTTTCCACCCTTAATGATTTTATGATTCAACTAAAGTCCATCCCGTGTTATGTCCGTTCCTTAGAATGAATCTCATATTGTGAGAGCTCACTACAGAGCTGTTAAACAAGAGACGGTCAGTTTATGTAGAGACAACAAAAGGTGGCTTTCTTGCAATGACACGGTAATGGTCCAAGAACTCTTTGTGGATCTAAGTTTCTAGGTGCAATATTGGTATCAGTATATGTACCCTACTATGGTAATGTACAATACTGAATTCATGTAGAGGGTCCAGGAATCCAACATCCTTTTTCTGGATTTTGTTTCTGGATTTTGTGCTGTACATCATCAACTGCAGTATTTTTAGAGCTGTACAGTATTTTTTGAGCAAGATTCTGTGCCCTTTTTTCTGCTGCTGATGGCATTTCCAGGTAGATGTCTTCAGGCTATGTGAAAATCTGCTGCCAAGGCTTCAGTCTTGATTTCTGAAAGTATGGTACTTAATTGATGTACATAATACAAAATTTGGTCTTGATCTTAAAGGATTTTTTCCAACATAAATGGTTCAGTCATTCTTTGAAATTAGTTGGGGAGTGAGAAGGGGATTGTTTTGTCTTTAACGTTACAGGAAAACTCTCTTTAAGTCTGAAATTCAAACATGTTTGCTTCCCAAATCACTTTTTTTTTGTTATAATTTAATACACATTTCCATTCACCACCTGTTGAGTATCTACAGATATGCCTAATTCACTTTCAGGTCCTTAGTTGATAGCTTGGAACTCTTCCTTTGATCATCGTAAAACACCTGTCATTTTAGCTTGAACTGTCATCAGTAATTCAGCATTGATGTGCACATAGCTGCATTCAGTAGATGGAGCTGCCCAGCTTCTAAGTAGTCAAATTGGTTCTGCTGTCCAGCAAGCAGTGTAAAAAAGTAATGACTTGACAGACATATCAAGTCATGAACTGTATGAAAATGGCTTCAATAAGTGTCAGAAGACCATTGCCATACAGGATACAGATTTGTTCCTCCTGTGTTCACAGTCTGAACACAAAACAGCAAACCTTTATTAAGTTCCTTAATTATTGCCTATGTTTTCTGTATCACTGGCATTAAATTCCTCCAAAAGCATGAATTACTCAGTCACAATGTTTGTACACAAAAATGGGACTATGTAAGCAAGACAGCTAATTTTGGAACCACTGTAATTGAAATTAAACTGTCTGAAAATTGGACTCTTAGTTGCAGGTAAAGCAAGTGAATTATGAAATCACCTGGCTTTTTCTTTTTTTTTAAATGCATTACTTCATTGAATTTTCTTTCTGTATTTTTTCTTTCCTTTAGCAATGGTTGTTCTCAGCAATTTGGAACCAAATACAACGTACGAAATCAAAGTAGCTGCTGTAAATGGAAAAGGGCAAGGAGAATATAGCAAAATCGAGATATTTCAGACTTTACCTGTCCGTGAGTAATACCTGTGTGATTAAATGGAAATGTAAATACTTATATTCACTAGAATATGTTGCTTTCAGACCTGCTAATAATTTGCAGTATGATTTTCCATTGATGATATGATTTATTGACTGTTTCCTACTGTATAACACCAGTCTTCTCTACATTGTTTCTCAGAAATTGTGTTATGTTCTTCTTATCCTCTCCACTGACTAATATGAATTAACTGAAATTGGAGTATTTCTCCAGTTGTGTCCAAACAAGTCTTCGTGTTACATGCTAGAGCACAAAGCATGCAAGATACTAGGTTAAGGATTTTTTCTCATTTACACACAGAATATTACAGACATCTGTGAGAAATGAATGGGCCCTTCCCAGAGACATTCCTCCAGCAAAAAACACTGCCACAAGTTTTGCAGCTATAATACCTAAAACAAAAACTACAGACAAATAACAAGAATACGTTGTTTTAACTGTGATTACGCAGAAATGACATATGATGCAAAGACATTTCTGTGTTAGTGGTAAAATTTACTGGCAAGAAATCCTGATGTTAAGATGAACAGCTAATGAAAAATATTTTCCCCAAATTAGAAATAAAGAACAATAAAAAGAAAGTAAAAGAACAATAAAGAACAGTAAAAATGCAGCAGCTATGAAAACCACAAAATATCTGTGTTGTTTTATTATATTCCCATTGACAAGGGCTTTCTGTCCAAAACAAGTCACTTGTCAGCTTTCAAACTTTGTTTTGTTTAAAGCACATGCATATTTCAAATATATTGTATGATAAAACAGTTTGCTGTTATTCATACGGCACATTACACCTGATAGAAAAGTGATAGGATTTGACAGAAGCAACACATACATTGCCTGATAGAAAACTAGGAAAATCGCCATTGAGATTTAGATTATTCTTTTCATTAACAAGAGATAAATGCAAATATAACTAATATTATAAGTATTTTGAACTTAAAATGTACCTCTATGTGAATGGAAATTTACATATGTTTTGAGTTGGAGACAATTATGACATGTTCATTTAGGATATAAAACTTTACAATAGGCATTGCATAAAGAAATGTTAGTTGGTCTGTGAAATATTATTAGAAAAGTAATTAAAGCTATTATAACTAACTATATAACTTATAACTATTCAATTTTAAGTTTATTTTTGTCCTCCCGTTGCAGAGAAAACTTTTTGCTTTTTGGAATCTTATTCTTCATGCTCATTCTTAATATAGTCTACTTTAGAAGTATTTAACTTTGTCTTGGCACAGTTAGTGAATTAATAGCTAAGTCATTTCTGATGTAAATTACATTTGAAAATATTAAAGTCAGAAAATCTCAAAGAAACTTAGACTTTCTTGATATTATTTTGTTTCATTGTGTGAAATAATCTAGTTTAGAACATACTTCAAGCAAAACATTTAGCACACTTATAAAGGATGTTTTGCAATACTTGAAAGAATCATGCTGATTTTAAAGATTTTGATGAATAATCTTATTGGTGAACTCCCAGCTGTAATTTAAGGTTTCTGGCATTGCTTTTTTTTTTTAATTAATTTACTTTATTTTCCTTATTTAGGTGAGCCAAGCCCACCATCAATTCATGGACAGCCAGGAAGTGGAAAGAGTTTCAAACTTAGTATAACTAAACAAGATGATGGAGGTGCCCCCATTTTGGAATACATTGTCAAATACAGAAGTGTAAGTATTTCAGTGAATCAAAGTAGGTGGGATCTGCTTAGTAATATCTTTTGACATAGACAAGATTGATTATGTTATTTGAAACATTAAAAAAATGGTTTGTATAATAGAAAAAGAAAAGAAGAAAAATAATCTAAGATATAGTATAGTATGTTTTCTTTTGTGACTAGGTTACTAATGCCAGATTATTAAAAAGAAAGAAAAACAGAGAATGAAAGAAAAACACCCTGCTCCTCCTAAAGGTATAACTGAAAGTTCTTTGTAATAAGAAAACTCTTTTCTCTGTCTTGTTACGTGGTAAATAAGGAAAGCTCAGCTCTGAAAGGTGCAGTCAATCATTGAACATTAAATTACATAATTAAAAGATGTTTGACTAACAAGTTTCATGTTACAACTGTATCTGTACTGATAGATGGCATCCCAGAGATAGGATGCTGTATTCCAGTGTTCCATGTTCAGTTTAAAAGAAATTAGTTAATCTTTCTATACTCCAAGACTCAATTAAAAATATCAAAACGAAATCATTTACAAATTGCTGTGACTTATGGACTTTCAGTGTACAGATCAGTTATTTAAGACATATCATGGAGAGTTCATTGGTCTTTTGTCAACTAGAATCTCATTTGTTGGTCTCTTGTAAAATATGGCAAGTTTAGAACGCAGACTTGCTTGTAGTGTACAATTTTTTTTATGAAAAATATTCTATATTTTTTTCTATGAGAAATGAATATATTTTATATTTAAGTAGCTAAAATATAAATAAAATAGTTAAATAAATTAAATTTCTAAACGTAGCCTATTAGCCTATTAGGCTAAGTTTAGAAATGACTACACTGGAGAAGTACCTCTACAACTAGCAAAGGCAAGGAAATTAATTCAGAAGTGTTCATATTCTATTAAGTTCCTTCTATTCTTTTAGAAAGATTGTACCATACTTATCTGACCAGACCCAGTAAGAAAACATTTTAACAGAGTGTAGTCACAGATTTATGTGTCCACTTCAGGAGTCTGAAAGAGATCAGACATATAACACCAGCTATTTAAACATATTTAACAGAAAATAGAGAGGACCATATTTTGCAGAAATTAGAAAGCCTTGAGAGATCAAATGCAGAACCTGTTTTATTACTCCCAGAAAGGATAAGTCAACACCTGATTTTGCAGTATTTTGTTATGTTTCCTGATGTTTTCTATAATATAACTTTTTGATGGTTGCTCTAGGATTATCCATGTGCTAAGACTGGCATGTGAAGTGATTTCCTACATCATTTGCTAAAAAATTTACAATCTGTGTGCAGATATCGTACATACATGTGATATGAGAAATTTAATCTATTTCTGTGATTTTGGTAATTTAAATGATTTTTGGACCTATTGTGAATAACTTTGTAAACACGATTAACCCAGTGTTTTGACTAAGGTACACCACTGTAGAATAAAAGTTTGCTTTTTGTGTTTGTTATTGAAAGATAAATATACAGTTTAAGCACTAACTGAAAACATAATAGGTTACAGAAGGAGATAGCTTTTACTTGGAGCTGAAATCCATGTCTCCCTATGCTTTCAACTGAAAAAGCAGTTTGACTAAATTAAAGGTCTTCTTACAACAAAAAAAAAAGCACAGTATTTTTTTGGTGTTTTAATCAGAATGAATGGATGCTATTTAAAGTTCTAAATCATTTGTTGACTGCTTCTGTTTTGTCTTGCCCATTGGTCATATTTAATTGGCTCTCCTATAATTCTTGTCAGCCTCGTTACTAGTGCCTGGACCAGTGAATTTGCTTGCAAGTATAAAAAGCATGTTAGATAACAAGTTACATATCAGTGGATTTCTTTTTTGTGTTTCATAGCAGTTCATGTCTTATTAAGGGACGGTTCCTTCATACTTAAGTTTTGTAAAGATTTTCTTGAAACAAGGAGTAGAACAGCCATTAAGATATTGTAGAGTTATTATAGCCTGGGCTAAGAACTAAGAACTGGTAAGTTTTATTGTTCTCAAGAAATCATCTGTTTCATTCTGCCAACTCTTGCTTTCTTAAGATTAATTAATTCTTACGGGAAGATCTTGCTAACTGTGATGAGGACCCACTCAATTTCTTCTCTCATTCCCAGTTATGGCACTACTGTTTTTGGTTGGGGTACGCATGTCCAGGTGCTGGTGTTGGGCAATGGGCATTAAGCTTTATCCATGTCAATTGCTGGGGAACTGTGTGTTGGATTCGTAAATGCCTGTTATCTGTTGTGCTGCCTGCCAAGTACAGGAGTGGTAAACTAGGAGTTAGCCAGGAATGTGGAACAGATGACAGTATGGAGTTACAGTCTAAAATGAAGGGTGAGGAGATAAAGTTCACATGGAAAAAGCATTTGGGATACAAGGAGTTACTGCCACAGCAGCTTACGACTGGTGGGTGAAAAGGCACATGTCTGCAAGAGAAAGGCTACAAAGCAGCAAATGGAAGGTATTAAGCAGGATGAGAAACAGAAACCGGAAACAGCATGCCAACAAATCCTGATTGCCATAAAGGAATAGTCATTTACGCTATTCGCAGTCACAAGCAAAAGTGCATGCATGTTGCTCGAGTGGATCCTGACAGTGGAGGATATTGTGAAGCTGGACATGTTGCAGTTGTGAATTTGTGGTTGGTGCTTAATGTTCCCTGCAAATAAATGTCAGCATATTATTTTGAAGGGATCTAATCCAAGTCTTCAGTTATAAATTTGGTACCATATCTTAAATTGAATTTCATTTGTGATTAAAAGAGAAGTTTTGAAACAGGCTTCTGAGTGATTGTAAAAGGGAATTCTGTTTCTGTAGTTCAAATTGCAGAATGCCAACAGTCAGCTGAAGAAATTGTAGGAGGGGTTTCTCTTTCATTCCAAGTTTCAGTAAAAGCTTAGAATTACAATGAAGTAGTAAAAATATCCATATTTATGGTGATGTACTTTTAGGTAAAGGCAAGAAAAAAATCATATTTTGGGAACTAGTGACAGCACAAACATTTTTTTTTCCTTTAGCACACCTAATGATGTCTGGAGGATACACTACATGAGCAATTAGCTTTTGCAAGCATAAAAGCTTTTGGTAGTGTTGACCTGTTACAGTGTTCCTATTAATGCTTTGAATTTTTGTACTGGCAGTTGTATGATTTCTGATTGTATGCTTCAGTCATGTTAGATTATGTTGATGGATGACCATGTTCATTTTGTGGCCTTATGATACGTTTTGAAAAAAAACTGATAGAAGATGAATACAAATAATTTTAGAATAGAGAATTTCTCATTCACTCCTGCTATAAAACAGTTACGTGTTTTTATGTCTCAGAGTTATGCATTACCTGCCAGGTCCTTGATCTTTCTGTGCATTTTAGCACTATGTTTTCAGCCATTTTGTGCTTTGTTCAGCATTCATCTTGTATTATTACCTCTTCTAAAACATCGCCCAGACCTATAAAGTACCATCCTTAGGTATTGAATTCTTGTGAAGTCACTCCTTTGAACTGTCAGATTGTCTTCCCAGAGAATTTCTTGATCTTTTTCCTGTGTGCTTTCAAGATAGTATGGCATCTCCTGCCCTTTTTTTTGTCACAGTGACCAGCATAATAAGTCTTTCTGAGCTGAATTTACAGTGCAAACAGTTTATAGTGGATGGAAAAAAAAAGAATTGGAAGAGGTTAATTAGATTTTTTTCAAGTTTCCAGAGAAAGTAATCTTAGGCGCAGCGTAATATGACCATTAAATGGACAAATATTATTTTCTAGACTAGTGAATAGTTCAGTTCCCAAAAAAAGTGTTTGGCTTTCCTTCTACCATTGTCAGATCTGCCCTCAGTTTTGAGAAGAAATCAAGTAGATTGAAGTTATGCTGTAATTTTTTCATGCTTTTTTTTGTCAAGTAATTTAGGTGCTTAAGCTACTCCTACGTATCTTACAAATCTAGCTCTTAGATACTTAACAGAAAAATTTCATTAATTCTTATATTTAAATGCAGTATACAAGAAATAAGAAATAATTGTAATTTTTTAGTGACTTTAATCTGAGGCATTGTAGCAGGTTTGTTTCAATCAAAGATCGGGGCAGGGACGAGAGCAGTGTGAATTTAAAGTTTATGAGTAATGGCAGTGGGCAGTAAGATCTCCAGAAATTGCCAGACATTGGTCAGTCTCACAGAGACAGTGACCTTCCTTAAAAAAGTATTTTGGAATTATAAAAAAAAAACAAAATAGAAAAGAGGGAAAGTTGAACCTCGAGATTGCAGATCTGATTCCAGTGTCTGAAATATCTAGTATCTGGATTATCTAATGCATGTTGATGATAAAATTGCAAATAGTAAATAATGATTGAAGGTATTTACATTAGAGCACTCCTCAACTTAGACTTCATGATTTCAGAGTTCCTTGCATTTGTTATAAAACACCCTGCATATTTGGAGCCTCCTGTGAATTTTAAGCAATATTAATAATAGAGTAACCTAATAAAGTATAAAGTGATACTTCATAGTTCTATTTTCTGCTCCTTGAGCTACCAATTAAAGGGTCTTAGCATAGACAGGGAGATTTGTAGGAATATTTTACTGGCAAAATTTGTGTTCTCGTCCCTTTCCAATGCTACTCTAATAGTAAAATTAATCTGGACTCATTACTGATCTCCACTTTGTTAAACGTGCTTGAAAATGCATGTGAAATAGGAACTAGAATGAAGGATATTGCCATTATTCTTAGTCTTTAAGATGACTGTATTTTAGAAGACTTCCTCTTTTCACCATTCATTCTTTTTCTTTCTTTCAGCTTGTGTTTGTCTCTCTTGGTAAAACGCTTTGATGTCTGTGAGCTCAGTGCTTGGACTCTGCCTGTTTCATTTATCTCTATCTATCTAGTAGGCATCACTTTCAACTAATCTTAAGGTGTCACTTCGCTGGCATAGCACACAGATATTCTGTTATGTTTCAGCTCTTTCATTGTTCTTTGCCTTACCAAAGTGTGAAACAACTTTGCTTTGTCACCTAATGTTATGTTTGCAGAAGCAACCTCATATTTATATGAGCAGCTGGAATATTTTCCATTTTGATATCTATTTTTTTCTCCTGTGAATCTGATTTTGTTCTGAACTGCTTAGTGTGTTCACACAGCTCTGTGTGCATGCACTAAGATCACATGTGCACCCTCTAATTTGCTCTTGCTTATATTCTTTGGAAACTAGTTCTGATTTTTTCTAACTCTTCCCAAATTTCACAGATTTAAACAGCCTCTGAAATACGGCACTATGCAACAGTGCTGCTAATATAATTACTACAGAGTATTTGTACATGCATGTTTGCAATCAATATTAATTCTTAATATTTTGTCAATGTTACGCAAAAATACAGATTGAAAAATCAGTGTGATGTGAACATACGTATAGATTCAGTCAGTGGAATGTAAATATAAATGGATTCGTGCAGTAGTATGTCAGTAACTGACAGAGAAGTCATCTGTGAGGACTAATACTTTATAAGAAAATTTAAAAAAAAATGATAGAAAATACCATTTTCACTGTGCTGTGTAAACTATTTTTATTCCAGTGTCTTTACTCTTTTTTCTTGATATGTAATGTAACAACCATTCTGATGTTTTTTGTTGGTCTATGCTGCAGCCACTTACTTTCACCTTGCTGCAAATGTTCCTGAAACTTTTTTTTTTTTTTTAATTTTAATTATCTCAGTACTGTTTTGTGTTGATGAACTTGTAGAACAAAAGGTGAAGTCAGTATGGAGAATTCATCACACTCAGTGCTGATAGCAAATAAGTTATTTAAGCAGTACATATAAGGGAGTTCAGTATTTCACTCTATTTTCTGGAAGCTGAGGACGAAAAGAATAGACATGGACAACATGGTTGGGCTGTCAGCTTATCTAATTTAGATACTATTTTTTTGAACACTTCTATCATTCAAGAGCAAGATCCTTCAGTGAAGAGCCTAAATGTAAGCTACTGAAGGATGGTGGTCCATAGCAAAAAGCTGCACTTCTCTCTATTTGATTTCTTTTTTTTTTTTTCCAAAAAGCTACATCCATTGACTGCACTGCTGTGTGGGGTGGATGGCCAGGATTTGGCTCTCAGCCATGGTTTTTGTCAATGCATTGTACTTCTGTGTTTAATAGGACTGCGTGAATTCTTAATGTTACTGAAAATCCTTTGATCAAGATGGCTTACTGTTTGCCAATGCACATTATTTTATTGTTTTACCTATTAGTTATTTTCTAAATGTCATTTGTATAAAGAGTAATTTAAATATAAAATGCTTCAAAAATACTAAAAAAAGAGATTGCAAAGGTAAGTACTCCAGATTTATAAAATGCCTTTTAAGGTTGCTGCCTGAGGCCTCATTTGTTCTCTCTGTATTGGTGTCTTATAACTGTGAGAATTACTTGAACATTTTTTTCTGTATGATACCATCTGACTGATTTAAATGTATCCTCTCACTAGTGTAAACATGGTACTGCATACTTTTTTAACAATGTTTATATTTTTGCTTACAGCTTTTTTTGCAAAATGGTACTGTGGTACAATATACTGCTACAGTTAGTTTATGTATTCAGTGTGTAACTAATATATAATATAAGCACAGCTTACATTCATGAGCTATTTCTGAATATGGATTATGGTTTTGATGGGAAAGTTCTCTTTAAGAACATTTGGCAAAATAAAATTGCAACATCTTCATAAAATAAAATTTTAAAAAAATTATTCTTAACAGAATTTATACATAACTGTCCTTTTTCCTAAGTTGAAATGTGTATTTGTGTAGAAATTCAACCCAAAAGGTTGAAAAAAAGTTGCTGATAAAATCCCTACATCCACATTGTGGAATGATGAGGTATAGTCATAATCACAAAAAGCCTGGTTACTCAGAACTCCAAAATTAGATGATTCCAAAGTTTATAACCTTTGGAAATTAATTTATGTAGTTTTCTTTCTTCATGTAGTCAGGCAGTTTAGACAAATAGTACAAGAGATTTTGAGAATATAAACTAATGTTTGCATTTTTACAGAAAGATAAGGAAGACCAGTGGCTAGAGAAAAAAGTGCAGGGTAGTAGAGACCACATCATCTTAGAGCATCTTCAGTGGACCATGGGTTACGAAGTACAAATTACAGCTGCAAACAGACTGGGTTTTTCTGAACCAACGTTGTACGAATTTAGCATGCCACCGAAGCCCAACATTATTACAGGTAAGTTGATTATGGAGTGTTTTCTCTCTCTGAATTGCTCAGACTTAGTATTAACATAGTATGTTAATGTGTGTAGTTGAATGGTCTGTTAGGGTAACTGGAGTCTTTCTTAACTGACAAAGCTTGAGACTGCATACTTTGTTACCAGTAAAGAAAACTCAGTTAAAAATCCTTAAATGGGACTTTCCTTTTCTACTTTGCTCTTAGTAACGTTATTTCTAAGCACAGAACAAACGCTGAATCTTCAATTCAGATAATGACAGTTAAAAAGAAATATAATATTTAAGATGCATTTATTTCACAATTTCTAAGTTGTCTCTTACTCTATATGTGCCTGTTTTCAGTGAATTTATTTGTTAGAATTCTGTATTTCAGCCCAGCCTGCATGTGCTTTGAGGAATACACGTAACAAGGGTACTTATTTTAGTGACTGATGAGATTAAGACTTCAAGGAGGGTAATTTAGATATTGTCTTACTGATTAACAGGACTCAGTGTTAGTACAGTGAGCATGCAGCCTTCTAACTGGCCTATTTTCAAGCTTTGACATAAGTAAATACATCACTCATATTTTTAAGTGTCTAAATAGAAAGATTTAAAACTTTTTAAAGGAAAAATGAATAGGAGGTAAGAGTGAGTGATTTTCAGTAACTAATTCATGAAGTTTTAGTGCTTCTGAAGTTATATTTTGGAATAGCAATGTAAATTGTTTAATTCAGAATAAACACAAGTTGTGATAGTAATTTCTGATATTTTGTGAGTAATTTTAGTTTTTATAATGTAAACAATATGAAGCAAACGATACCTAACTTATCAATTAAATTGATGTAGAAAGTGTTGATTTGCTTCTTGATTGAGATTCAGGGCCTTTATAGGTCAGTGTACTTCTTTTTAAACTGACAGTGTTTCATGGTTGCAATCATTCAAATTAAAAATTATACTGCACAGTCAAAAAAAAAGGGAACATAAATGTGGGGAATCTGATTACTCCACGAAAATTATAATACTTACCAAATAGAAAAGTAAATAAAACCTTACTTTGGTAAAGACTTAAGTCTTTTTAGTTTTGCTCATTTGAATACCAGAATGTAACTTGTTTTGCACTGCAACTGTTCTATAACCTGTTACAATTCTTTAAATTCTTCCCTGTTATTGTAACAGCTACTGTAAATGAGAATCATGAGATTCCTGTTTAAATTGCAACATAAATAGTTTCTGGATGTTGAAGTAAAAAGTGCCTTTTTTAATTTATCCTGTGAATATAGAACATTTTTCTTTGTACATAGCTTTATAGATGTTATGGAGCTTTTTCCTTTCAGCACTCTCATAACCTCAAAATAGTTAGAAAGAAAAATCCGTTACACTACTGAACATCGAGTCTTTATATGAATCGTTATTGCAGTTATGATTGTGGAACTAATTAGTTTCCTTGACAACTGTTTTTGCAAAGTGTGAAAAGAGTGTGAAATTCTCATCATAAGAACATTCTGTAAGCAATTTAAAAACATACGTCAAAAGATTCTTAAAATCAGTGGATATTAATATTCACATTAATGAGTCAGTATGGTTATCTGGTTATGAAATTTTTTTGCATAATTTTATACTGCATATTGCATAATATTATACTCTTAATGATATTATTACAAAAGTAAAAATTAACTGTGATAGAAAATGTATATAAAAAGCTCATTAAAGCAGATCAGTTCTTTCTCATACCAGTTAGTCAACTCAGATGATGCAACATTTATTTGCTGTAAACCTCTTATATGTAAGCATCTACAGCTAGGTCTAAAGAAGAAATAATCCAATTTGGCACAATTTTGAATGAAATATGCATCCCCTCTCCTGTGCTCTCTTAGCTGCTTGTGATGACTGAGATTCATTATCTAATTCTTTGTGTGGTTATTAGAAAAGTTTGTAAGACTCATGAATGTTTTCATCCGTATGTGTCCAGATCTGGCTGAACTGTTTTTGTCTTGCTCTTAAAGTTATTCAAAAGCAAGATATCTGTAGGTCCTATGTACCCAATCTCATGGGCATAGCAGGAGAATTTTGTGACTCCTGAATTATTATCATGGTCAGCTGTACCTAACATAATACATTGCAAATGTGTACAAGCTAATACAAACCATCAGTGCTATCCTTGCCATGGAAATGGGTGTTACCACAAGAAATAAGACTTTGATTCTGATTCCTGCAGAAAGAGCCTTATTATGCTCAAAGTGCTGTTGGATATGTCAGAAGTCATCCCTGAGTCCAGGTACAGGAAGCTAAAAGTCTTTTTCAGTGAATACGTAATTCCTGTGGACACAGAACCCATGACTTCGATTGATTAGAGAAATGTGAATGAGGACCAGCAGGTCCTGCCTGACAGTCAATTTTTATAATAAAACAATGTGATAATCTTCCACTAGTAATCTTAGCTGCAAATTGGCATCAGTTAGATGTATAAATGATACTAACATTCCTTTAAACTTTCACACGATTGACCTTGGCAGCCTCCAACTAGCTATACTTCATTTTGTAATTTCTGTGCCTGGATCTATAAAGCTGTCTCCATTCACTGAATCACTCACGTTTGTGATTAGTTCCTCAGAATTTAATTCTTCTCATAAAATTTTCCAGGTTTTCCGAAAGGTTGGAATATTGCACTGCTTTTGAGAAATGCTCAGTGGATGGACTTGTTAAGACATTTTTCCTATTAATGTGTGTGTATGTATACATATATAATTACTCCAAATTTTAACCATATATATAATTTTACTTCCTACCTTTTTTTTGTTTTTGTATTCAGAAATTCCATCTATTTGACTGCTTAAGATTATGAGTATGTATTTAAGGATCACACTTTGAAGAAAGAGTGGCATATTCTTAAGTGTAATAGTTTATATATTCCAATATTTCACTTTGTTAGTTGGCAGTCCTTGTAGGCAGGTGCAAGTCTAATATTAGAGTGCTTGCCTATGACTGAAATCTTTACCGGATTTTGAGCACTGATTTGTGGTATTTTAGAAAATCTTGTTTCAGTTTCTCTGTACTATCTTCTTCTAATTTTGTGGGGAAATAAATAAATAAATGAATAAATAGAAGCATTCTCAAAGAAGCTGTGTGCCTTAGCTCACAGCTATTTATCAGTCTTTGGACGGAATAGCCTAGCGTCTGCAGCTACAACAAATTTTCTGAGTAGGTGTCACTACAGGCAGATGAAGTCCATCAGCTTCTAGAGGTGACAGCACAGCCCATTTGTATCGCTCCATTTAATCTCTCTGAGCAGAGCAGAGATGCATACCCTCTCTTCTCGTACATCTGGTATAAAAATGTTCAAGTCATAGTTGTCTTTCTGAAACGTTACTATTGAAACCTAAAAATACATCTGCAGTTCTATATTAAACAAATCTTAAAAGAAGATAAAATGAATGATGTTAAAAGAGGATAATTTGTGCAAATGTTAGACGTGCTTTCGGAAATTAGTGGCAAAGATTTATGCAGGTGCAGTCTTCCAAGAACTTTTATCCAGCCATTACTGTTTCTCTAGAAGTCCGGTGTATATTAAAACTGGCTGCAAATTTTGTTTTATCATAACAGTTTTTCATTATCATTGTAGATTAATAAATCGGTACTATAGTAGGAAGATCAAAAAGCATATGAAAACAGTAAGAAGGCCTTAGAACTACTTTCTCTTTACTGTTATTTTAAAAAACGTTTAATATTGCATAAACTGTTGGAATCTTCTTTTTATTAGAACACCTGAAAAAGTTTAAATCCCTTATGAGCCCCAAGATTGTTATTGTACTGAACATATTGACTTTTTTGCATTGTATATCTGTCAATAATTCTTAAAATCATATAGTGATAGGTGAAGAGGGACAACCCAAAGCATAATATTTTCTCTCACCATCACTAGCAGCTAAGTTAATATTCTGCACCAAACATGGCTTTTGTCAGTAGTATTTAGAAAAATGGAATGGTAGGATTTTTCAGTGGTCTCTTGCTAAATGAAAATAGCTCATACAAATACTATACATATTTTATATATATATACATATTTGAATGTATTTATGTTTATCTTGCTATTACACAGCTATAATTGGGCTGTCAGAGTCTACGTCCAGTGTTTTTTTTAGAATATAAGCTAGAAAATGAACTTTTTAATCTGGAGTCTGAAAATTTCTAAGTACAGAAAAATAGAAATAACTTTCTATGATGCCTACAGTTTTCTCTCAGAACATGTCCTTTTCTTTAATGTTGCTCTCAGCCAAAGTTCAATGACTTTTTGGAGTTGAAATAAATTCAAAATTATTCCATCTGGGTCACCAGGGAATATTTTTGATCCTGTCATGTCCTTTTGCCAGAGAGCAGACTTTGTTGATCCAGGTGCTCTCTACACCTCTAAGGAATGTGAGCTCCTTCAATCTTGCCACTTGGAAAGGAAGAAGCACCCTGGGGCAAAATCTACCTTGTGCTGAAGGGAAGCATAGCCTAACTTTTCTCTAGAAGGTTTCCTGTGTCTCTTTGGGTTAGCGATCACAGAATCACAAAGTGGTTGAGGTTGTAGGGGATTTCTGAAGGTCATTTTATCTAAACCCTCTGCTTAAGTAGGGACAAGCAAGTATCCCTTGATATCTGTGTCCAGATAGTTTTTGGATGTCTCCAAGAATGAAAGTTACACAGCCTCTGAGGGCATGTTTGTCCAGTGCTCAGTTATCTTCAAATTAGAGAGGCTTCTCCTTATGTTCACAGAGTGCCTCCTGTATTTCAGTTTGTGCTCAATTTCGTATTGTCATTCACTGAGAAGAGCTTTGCTCCATCTTCTTGCATCATTCCTTTAGGTGACTATACACATTCAGATCCTCCTGAGTGTTCTCTGTGCTGAACACATCCAGCTCTCTCAGCCTTTCCTCAAAGAAAGATGTTCTGGTCCCTTGAATCCTCTTACAGGCCCTGTGCTGGACTCTTTCCAACAGCTTCTTTTCCTTCATGTGCCTAGAAATGGTTCCTAGG